GGCGATGTCGCCTCTATATATATATATATATATATATATATATATATATATATATAAATATATATAATCTTTTATTTATATATCTATTTATTTATATATTTATATATAAAAGTTAAAAAAAAAAGTGCGACGTCGCCTCTCTTTTCCCCAAGCAGGCCGACGTCGTAGAAAAACGAGGCGATGTCGCCTTTATATATATATATATATAATTTATAAATAAAAAATATCGTCCAGTAGCGAACGGTTTGCGTATCGGTTTACTGTCGGACCGGTACGTACCGTCTTGTATCATTCGAAACTGTATACCTTGCTTCTAAGTTCTAACTTAGATGAAGGTTAGTATATTTTGATAAACCATGGCAATAAGTTAGCACTTGAAAATATTTTCTTGGTTTTTGATGTAATTTATAATTGATGTAGACTATCTTTTCATCTGTATTGATATTTCATAAACTTTTACAACAATATCTATCCCTTGTCTATGTTCCACACTGAAATCCATTCAAGTATCTAAGTTAGCTGCTTTCGTTTCTTTGCAGTTTGAACACAACTGAAACATCATCATGTAAGAAGAATATTTCTCTTGTATTGATGATAGTCAAAGCCTATCATCTTATTTTATTTACATAATGAAATATGGTTTTAAAGATAGAGGGGAAATAATGATTTATAATTTTGCTAGATATAAGTTAAAATCTTTATGTTGGCCTGCTCCTGGGATAGGTTTAGGGCTATTAACTATTAGATTTATGGGGGCAATACTTGTACCTTTTAGTTTGAGCATGACAATTTTGGCCGAGACTTAATATGTCTTCAAGCAAGGTTTCTAAATCTGAGTCCAGTACTGATACCAGTCAGTAGCTGGACTGGTACAATCAGTGTACCAGCACTTAGTTTGGTTTGGTATCCAGCAGAAGGTTGCAATGGAAGAGGAGCAGAAGGCGGCAACAGAGGAGGAGGCAGCAGAGGTGTTCAAGTAGGAGAAGGAGGTGCCGAAACTTAGTGCCAGAAGATTTTCCTTCAAACCTCCTTCGTGAAGCTACAATCTTTTGTTGTATAAGGCCAAAACCATCACCAACATGTTTCATCTATCTTCCATTTTACAACATAAATAACTCGAGTTAATCTTCCATTTTATAATTAACCCAATAAAGCACTTTGGTCTATCTGATATCAGGTATTACCATAACCTCTAATGGCTTGTTTGGATAGAGAGAAGTGAGGAAAAGAGAAGTGGATTATTTTGTTTGGATGCAACAAGTAGGAGAAAATTGGAGAGGATACAACTCTCTCCAAGAAACCTTTTTGTGATTTATTGGGAAGAAAAAGTAAAAAATTCCTTTTCTTTCCTCTTTGCTTCATCCCGTAATTTACTACCAAACAGTTAATTTGATCAGGATCAATATAAAAAAACTATGAAGTTCAAAATATAGACGTACGAATTATATCATGGACTCCAATTTTCATATAGTGGAATATTCTCTTCTTTAAGATTAATACTACAAAAATATAGTTTAAGAAAATCAACAAATTGTCTCGTCCAGTGGGTTTGTTCTTGTCCCATAAATTGAAGATTACATCTTTAGCATATCAACAATCATAGCAGAGATGCTAGCAGCTTCATCAATCAAACAACCATATTTTTTCAACATGTGATAGCTCTCTCTCAAAGGATTTTGCTAGATTATATGTTTCATTATCCATCACAAAATAACAGATCCAAAACTTAACAAATTTTAGCAGTCTAATCCAAATTGTAAAGTAGGTCTCTTCCATTGAATAGCCTCCACCACCATTTGCCCAATAATGTCAATCTTTATCTCTTAGGTTACATGTGCTAAGATATTGGTAAATTTGTTTTTCATGTCAATGACCAAGCTACTAGTCATGTTGACAACGAAATCTTTGCCTATGCACATCTTAAGTCATAAGCCTGTCTTTTATCTTTGTTAAGTTGTTAAATTGCATACATCATCCTTTTCATCATCCATTTATCATTCTTGCAGAAATGTAACTGATAATGAATTGGAAAACAACAAAAATGATGAATAACCTAATCATAGTTTAAATTTATTCTAAAAAGTAAATAAAAGAAACATATGTTCCTTTCATCTTTTCCATTGTGATTCTATTTCTCTTCCTGTCTAGGGTATTTCTGGCTAAGAGTCCTTATTTTATGTACCAATATTACATCCCTATTCAAATGTTTGTCAAGATTGAGGTATAGATGTTTTATTGCCCTATTTAATGATATCTTGCTTATGACCAAGATTCACCGTACCACGGCATACTGTCCGGTATGGATAGTATGTACTGATCTGATAAGGGACATGTATGAGTGGTACATACCAGTTTGTCGGTATGTCCCATGTAACATGTGTTGGTACGTCGGTATGGTTCGGTACATACCATAGCAATGGTCGATCAGTACACTGGTATGGATCAGTAAGGTGAACCATGCTTGTGACATTCCATTCATGTGAGGAATAAGGTTCATTTTTTATGTTTATCTGGAGTCTGTTTTGTGGGTACTTATATATTATTTATTTCCCTTTAGTGAACTTTCTCTTTCTTTCATTTTTTTCATCTCAGAAAAAAAAAGGAATATGATGGTAGTAGTTTCTTCCTTCTGCCCCAAAAGGGAAAAATGGATTGGTCTGAGGCTTGAGTTGTTTGGTACACATTGTTAAGAGTATAAACCAGACTAACTTGACATGGCATGAAAATTTGTGCCATGTTTCGATCAACTTGTATGATAGGCTTGATATGATTGAAAGTTGCAAACCTTTCTTATCCTGACTGGTAGATGTGCAAGTGATTTGTGGTCTTGACAACTAAGTGGAAAGAATCAAATTTTAACATTCTTTTGGCATAGAACTTCTTAATCTTGGTGGCAAGACTGCATGCCATCTGGTTGATATTACACATAATCCAGTGTGGTGAGCTGTTGATTAGCTCTGGATATTACAATATTATTCCCCCATCAATGTATGTAAGATGCTCATTAGCATTTATAATTTTCTTTATTTCTAAAACTATTTTTTCCACATTTTGCATGAGTGTAAAAATGATGGTGTGCATTTGATAGTACCTTTTGATTCCTATTATTGGTATATTGTTCTCAACAATAATAACAATAAAGCCGTAAAGTCGTAACTATTTTTGGTGATCAGTTCTGCTTTGTATAACTTCAACATCAAATATTAAATGTAAATAGTGTACATTGCCTTTTGTTGGCAGCCCATCTGAAGTGTAAAAAGAATTATAAGCTTTTATAATCTTGAGATAAGTTCATGTCAGGCCAAATTCTATGGAACTTAGATTTTAGGAAGCCTTATGTCATTGACAAATTCTGCAACAATACAGAACAATGTTTGATTCACGTTCTACTAAATACCATTAACTGCCAGTGGCATGAAGTTCTAAAGTTTATTCAGTTTCATGGAAAGCTTTAGGTTTTGTAATTGGTGCGTACTTGTAGGTTTTGTAATTGGTGCATACTTGTAGAGTTGTAGGTCCGATTATTTGTGCATTAGATGCACTAAATGGATTTCACACTGTTTATGGAAAGTTTTATAATCATTATATATGGAAAGTAATATAATAATCATACTATGATTTGTTATTTTAGAGAGTAAAGAGGAAATACCAATTACAAACTTGTGTACCATATAATTGTTGAAGTTATCTGTTATTCTTGTCATGTCCTATTGTATCATTTCTTGGGTGGAATGAAAGATTGAAGGCTTCTCAAATCATCTGACACAGGGAACATGGAGTCCAATTTGGGAATTTGGATGTGACATTTGGAGCAATCACTGTGAACTTGAGGGAGAACCTATTTGTCAAAACCAAGGAGTCAAACAGTTCCATGGGTGTTGATGAGAGCAAAGAAGGTGCTTTGGACTTTACCAAGAAATCTGAAAAAAAATCATCGTCGTTGAAGAAGCATATTGTTGCATTTCCTGAAAAGGTTCAATCTCCCTATGGGACTTGATTTTTGTATAGTTCATTTAGTTTTCAGATGTTTACTTCTAATGAGACACAAATTTTGAGATATTTTGCTACAGAAAGTCAATTTACATTTCAAAAGAACACCTTAATATTCTTGAAATGGAAGTACTATATAGTATATGCACAACTCATCCACATTATAAAAGGTCTTGGAAAAAATATCAGGAAAAGCTATTGAAATTCGTGAAAGTGGCTTCAAATTTCAAGTTAGCAATCAGAATAAACAGATCTAACCAATTTGCTTCATAAATGGACATTGCTGCATACCATGTAATAATAATAACATCAAGTGTCAGAAAAACTTCAGTGTAATACTTTCAAATGTTAATGAAACACGTGCTATTTACTACCATATAGGTTGTGCACATCATGTTCTACTACCATTTTCTTGGCCTGTTTGCATAATCAAGACCCTTCTCTTCATTGAACATGAATTCTCCATTAATTATTGCATTCTCCTTTGTGCTTTAGGTACATGTCTACCTATTTCAACTACTTGAATTCTAGGATGGTCTAATTTGTGTATTCTTGTTGCTTAAAATGATGACATCCTTACAACAAAGGTTTGCATTATCATTGAGCAACTAACATTTGCATATTTTATTTTCGAATGACATTTTAAGTGTGATATGGAATATGTCGTTTGATGATTATGCTGCAACTTGCTGTGCTATTATGATATGTATATCTTTTAAGGGCAATCCTCTTTTGCAGTATCAAAAACTTTTTCAGGTCATCTGGTTCTCCTATAAGGCTATAACATGTTTTGACTTTTCCTGTTGCTGCTTTCATGATTATAAGTTTGATTGTTCATTATAAGTATGGACGAGTATCAAATTTCAACTGAAGTCTTAAAGAATGCTACTAAACAAACAATGTTCATTTATTATTTGGAAGGTGAACTTCAACGTCCGTGAACTAGACATCACATTTGTGCACCAAGCTCAAGACATTTCTGCAAACAGTACTGTGACAGGCATCCTGCTGACAAGTACTAAATCTGTGGTATATGATGATTCTGGAGAGGCCACATCAAACTTTGTTCTCAACATGGATTTTAGTAAAATTTATGTATGTTTTTACTCATATAAGTTTTTTGCTTAAGGTATACCCTGCTTGATATGGCCTATATACATTGTATTTGTTGAGTTTGTTTATTCCTTCTCATTACAGCTCCTTAGAGAAAGCAATGCTTCTGTGATGGAGCTTTTGGAATTCACAGTTATAGCTACAGTTGATGTTCCAATGCAAGTAAGTTGTTTACACTTTATTGGCTTATTGTTGCACTTACTATCCAAATCCTTTTCTATATTATGATTTATGAAAACAGACTATTGGGTTTTTTATCATACTTATCATCCTTTTTACATGGACTTTCTATATAACATTCATGTAGCTTATGCTATTCCATTAAATCTTGAAAGGATGATGAGCACAATGCTTAAGAGTTGAAATTTTTTTGACCATATCAGTTGGTATTGACCGATGACCAAGTACCAATTTTTAGAACATATAGCTTGATACCCATAAAATAGTAAGGTTTGTTGTACCAATGCATACTGCCTGATGCGGGCGGTACATACCGGTTCGATAGGATACCGGTACGTGGACCGCCCTTTATCGGGTGATACCGGTCACTTGACCCCGTATTGAAAGATATAGGGTCTATACCGGGCGGTAACGGTTGAAATTCAACTATTACTGACCTGTACCATTCAGTAACAGTTGGATTTCGACCATTACTGATCAAGGGCTGAGATTGCCCTGTTTCAAACGGTCAATTTGACCATTTGAGGCTTAGAAAAGGGTTTTTAAACTCTTTCCTCTCCCCTCTTTCAACTCATTTCACTTTTTCAATCTCTTAATCTCTTTCAAACTCTTTTTCACTCACATTTCTCTCTTACTCTCACATTTTCACTATCCAAAACTCAACAAAACTACGATTTGTGGATTGGATCAAATTTAGGATGCTAATTTGGGAGGATTAAGAGGAAGAATACTTTAATCAAGAGGTATATATTCTCTTTCTAGATTTTTATTGATTTATGAGATGATTAAGTCTATTCTATATGGTATATGACTTAATGTTTAATATGTTGTTTAATATGTTTTTGATGGTAGAATAGTGTTAATTAGGGAGTAATTTAGGCCTTTACTGTTGTGATTAGTGTGTTTAATATTGATTTTTTCAAAATTAGGCACTTAATAGTTCAAATCTTTATATTTTGTGCGGATTGAATCATATGTTTGTGATGCTATAATAGGTTTAATTAGATTTTAATTAAGCTTTTAAATACTATAATTAGTGGCTTTAATGATGATTTAATCAAAATTTGATCGATATTGGATAAATTAAATATCTTTAATACTTATTAGGGCATTTGACATGTTTATAGCGGTAAAAAAGAATTAATTAGGGATTACTTAATTATGTTAATACTGTAATTAGAGTATTTAATTACAATGATATTGAAATTTAACTCATATTGGGTCAATTAAATGTCTTTAATGCCTATTAGTGTGTTTGTCATGTTTATAGTGATGAAATAGAAATAATTAGTAGGTAATTAATTATGTTAATGGTGTGATTAGTGAATCTAATGATGATTTCATTGTAATTTGAACAATATTGGATTAAAATTACGTATTTAATACTTTTTAGGGTGTTCGACATATTTATAATAGTAAAATAAAGCTAATTAGGTATTTTTGAAGGTTTATTTTAATGATTTTGTCTGTATGTCTCGATACATATTGTATCGAGCAGGGCTCGGTACATTGTTACGGACCGAAATTACAATCCTTGTACAATAGTATACAAGTGGATCGATGCATGACCTGATTATTGGTAAGTTACCAGTTTGATAGGTCACCAAGTAATAAGCAATGTCAATGTCTGGGAAGATTGCTTTTACCTATATTCTATCACATTGTGTATTCTTTTATATAAAATTAAAAGTGCGCTATGTTTTGATAAAATAAAGTTAATCAAATATCCCTTGATACAAATAAGTGGATTTACTGAACCAAAGATGGTGATGATTCTAAATTTGCTCAAAGATTTCGATTACATCAACAATTTCATCATAATGTTTCTACAATTCCATTAATATTATTAGCGTACATCTTTCTTTGTATCTTTTGGACATGTAAAAGAATAGTCATATTGGACTTTTGTGAGTCAGTTTCTATATTAAATTATTGTTAATAAGCTAAAACATAGAGTATGATAACAATCATGTAACTTAATGAACTGACAACATAAACATTATCTTGCAATTCAATTGGTTGCAAAGTCCTTGATGTGACTTAACTGTTCTCTAAAAATTGGGAAGCAAACTAATCTTTGAAGAACAGTCTAGATTACTGCAAGAGTGTCAATAAGCTAAAAACATGTAGATGCATGTGGCAGATGCAGACACATGCGGCAATAGATGTAGGCACAAGGGAATAAAGAGAATGCATGAGAGTGTGTGTTAGGATTCTTAATTTTTTCTAATCTTAGGGATTAAGAAAATAAAAAAACCAGGTCGGTCTTACCATCGGTCTAGGTTTATTACCAGGCCTGAGTCAGACAGTCAGCTTGTTTCAAAGGGTTTACCACCTGGTTAAGTCTTATATTGCATATGAATCGCCCGAAATTGTGTGATCTTCATGCCGGACAGTAGTTGGATTGGTAAATACTGGTCATGCCATACCAGAGAAATTGGATTCCTTGGACTTTCAAGGAAAACATTTGTCCATGACTGATACAGCCTTACAGGTGAGCAGTCCTGCCACATGTCATTTGTGCATTCCTTGCTGTAAAGACTTGTTGGGATAGGGTAATAAAGCAGTAAGTCTTATTCAGTTCACCAAAGCCCACCAAGATAGAGTTTTTGAGGTAAATTTGACTTCTGTAAGTTACCATCACCTTAAACTAGAAGCTCGAGATAATCTGTATCTCGATTTCTCTGAACCAGATGATTATTGTGGAAATGTTTACCTTTTCTTAGTTGAACTTCACGTCTCTTTTTTTGTCCTTAGACTTTGTTGTTCTTTATTCTTTTGTTTTTTCTTTTTAAAAATCTATCATGCTTATAATACTCAACTATCTAGGTGCTAATATTTCTGGTTACTTATACGTGACTCGTTCGCTTGTGGCAGCCTCTACCTATTAATGCTGAGGTTAATGTCAAGCTTGGAAGAATCAGTTGCAACTTTATCTTTAGCAGATTTAGGCCATGGCTTTCTCTTAAATTAGGTAAAAAGAAGCAGATGGTTCTTCGTGAAGAAAGTTCTTATCATGAAAAAAGATCAACAGATGGCACGGACACTATTATGTGGAGAAGCACAGTCTCTGCTCCAGATATGAATATTATGGTTTATGATCTCAATGATTGCCCCTTGTATCACGTAAGTTATCTCATAACATTTATACATAATCACCGAAATCTGTCTCAATTTTAAGTTTGGATTTATCTAAAATCATCTTACCATTTTGTTTTTATTGTGATATGAAAGAATGAAACATTACCAACTGCATTGCAACAGAATATGGGGTTGTAGAACTGAAATATGTAGGGAGTTTTTAACTTTTGCGGGAGTCCTGATTGGAAAATTCCTAATGCTTGGTTTATGTATTGGTGTTCTTGCAGTAACATGATCTTAAAGTTATTTTCAAATTCTATTACAGGACATCTTAGATGCAGGTCCCCCATATTTTGGTGCAGTCACAGTAAACAAGAAAATAATGCTGAATAACTATATTACATATTTCTTGAATTTTGTGATTACAAATTCTATTCAACTTGTGTCAGTCTATGTAGATGTCTATGACAGAGAAAAAATACTTCTGATATTTGAGAATTACCACTGGAACTCTTTGAGGATGTAGTTGCAAATTGCGACATTTGTTCATTGATTAGAAATGGATACTGGGGATACACTGAATAGGCCAATTGAGAAAATAATTAATAATGATGTAGAGGACTTATCCATGTTTTAAGAACATTCTGGTTCAACTTTATTGGAGATTGACATTTGTACTGAGGATCTGAAAGGTTTTGAGTTAAAACTTCTAGATGGCCTCTTAAAACCCGTACCGACTGATATGCCTGTTATTTAATACCTTGCTCCAGGATACTACCCAAGCAGTCTATGCAATTCCTTTTTCTTTAATGCATGAATTCTTTATTAAATTTGATTTTCTTTGGATAGTTATATTAATCTGTGGATTGACAGCCTTCTGATCAAGATCATGGCATGTCTTTAAGATTTGTTTGATTTCTTTAGTTATTCTGTTACATCATTTATCTGAAAGAAAGATAACTTATATAATTTAGAATATGTAATGGAGCATGGCAATTTTGCAGTCTTTCATTTATGAATCCTCTGGTTTTTTGCGTGTACCTTGATGATGCAGGGATGCTTGCAATCCTCTCATCTTTCTGCAAGTAACACTGTAAGTAAGAGACTTGAACTACATGCAGAACTTGGTGAATTTCATTTCGACACCGCCGATGCATATCAGAAATCTTTGGATAAAAATTTAGCAGCTATAGAAACTATCTCAGGCTCATTGGTGCATATTGAGCAAATGAATCTTGATTTGGGTCACAGAGAAACAGAATCACATGATGAGCATGATCTTAAGAGGTTGAAGTTGGTTCTTGCTGTTGATATGACTGGTATGGGAATATTCTTTGGATTTAAGCATGTTGAATCACTTATGAAGACCATAATGTCCTTCAAGGAAGTGCTAAAAGGTTTGTCTTCTTCCAGCAAAAAAATGGCTAAAGATAAGGTTGCTCATTCTTCTAAGAAAGAGACTGCAAAAGGGATAAACATTGTGAAACTTAGTCTTGAAAAGTGTTCCATTAAATATTTTGGTGATACCAGTCTAGAAGATATGACCGTTGCAGACCCCAAACGTGTTAATTTTGGTTCTCAGGGTGGTGAAGTTATAATAAGTGTTTCCGCTGATGGGAAACCTCGTAAAGCAAGCATAACATCCATAAGGCTCAATGATTGCCAGCATTTGAAATTCTCAATGTCTCTTGAGATCTCACATCTCAGATTTGTCTTCAACAAGGAAAAGCATTCCATGCAGATTGAAGTCAATAGAACTAGGTCATTCTACTATGAATATCCAGAAGAACAGAATCCTGGTACAGAAATGACACTGCTCGATATGCAGAAAGCAAAGTTTGTGCGACGTTCAGGTGGCCTTAACGACACTGCTTTGTGTTCTCTTTTAAATGTGACTGATTTATCAGTCAGGTGGGAGCCTGATGTTCATTTAGCACTACTTGAATTTGTTACAAGTTTGAAATCTCTGCTTCATAACCAGAAGCTCCATGGTTCTGATAGCCAGATGAAGGAAGAATCCCTTGATACAGTGTCAGTACCACAAAGGGAAATAACTTCTGATCAAGCCTCAACTGAAAAACAACATAAAAAACGAGAATCAGTTTTTGCCGTTGATGTCGAAATGTTGAAAATATCAGCTGGGCTAGCAGATGGTGTGGAAACAATAATTCATGTGCAGTCCATCTTCTCTGAGAATGCAAAAATAGGTGTTTTATTTGAGGAAGTTATGGTTTCTTTTAATGAAGCCAGAATACTTAAAAGTAGTCGTTTGCAGATCTCCCGTGTCCCAGTATCTGTCATGCATAATATGCAAGATTCAAAATCACAGATGGTCACCACATGGGATTGGGTAATTCAAAGTCCTGATATCTACATCTGCATGCCTTACAGGTTGCAGTTACGTGCCATTGATGATGCAGTTGAAGATACATTGCGATGTATAAAACTCATTAATGCTGCTAAGACAGACCTCATATTTCCTGGAAAGAAGCATAGCACCAGAAAAGCTAAGACTAAATCCACAACTTTAAGATCAGTGAGATTACTGATCCGCAAAATAACTGTGGAAATCGAGGAAGAACCCATCCAGGGCTGGCTTGATGAACATTACCAGTTAATGAAGAAGGAAGTTTGTGAAGCAGCTGTTAGGTTGAAGTTTCTTGATGATCTTCTTTCCAGTATGACTTCAAGTAGTCAGGAACCGAATGCACTGGGTTCTGAAAAGAAGATTCTTTACAAAGAAATTGAAATTGATGCATCTGATGTTTCATCTGTTGAATGTTTGCGAACGGAGATTCATAAGAAGGTCTTCCAATCATATTACGAGGCATGCCAAAAAATAGTCATCTCAGAAAGATTAGGTGAAACCACCAGAGGCTTTCAATCTGGGTTTAAACCAAGTATTAATAGAGCTTCTCTCATGTCACTATGTGCTAGAGAACTTGACGTGACTCTGACAGAGATCGATAAGGGCAATGTTGGAATTGTTGAGTTTATAAAAAGGACTGATCCTGTATGCTCAGACAAAGATATACCTTTCTCCCGGTTGTATGGAAGAGATTTTGTTTTAAGTGCAGGATCCTTGTTAGTGCAAATAAGAGATTATACATACCCAATCTTTTGTGGAAGTTCTGGTAAATGTCAAGGACGTGTTGTAATAGCTCAACAGGTAAACTGAAAAATTGTTAATTTTTTAATCCATGAAGCAAATATCCTCTTATTTCACGTTTATACACAATGGAGTGCTTTATGAGTGTACTGTTGACCAATAACTGTCAAGTTTTTCTCTTCTTCTTTTATAACCTTTTATGTTCTTTTTCTTTATTCAGGGTTAGATATGCTAAGTAGAACCTATCTTAAATAATAATGGGTAATATTATGGAAATATTTTTTTTCAAATATTTCCTGGATATTTCTTAGCATTTTCTACAACTTGGAGCTTCCTGTGTGAAGTTCAAATCATTCCAACTGCTGCCTTTACTGGTCTGTTTGAGAATTAACAGATTGGAATGGATCATTCACTATGTAATTGACTAAAACATATTGTTATGTAAATTTTGTTATAAAAATGCAGTATTTGTTCTAAAAATATTTTTTTTCATTATAACCTTAAATAGTAGATATTGTAAATTCTGTATCTCAATCTGAAAGTCAGTTGTTTATATTTATCAAATGCAGTAGATATTGTTTATTAATTTTCATTACCTGTATAATTATGTAAACCGTTGTACAACTTAGTTTTAATTATTTTTGGAATATTAGACTGATAATATAAGAAGGCTTAGTCTTGCATGTTCTTACTATCTTCATTTGTGTGATGTCTAATTTGAGATGATAATTTCTACAATGTTTTGGCAATTGATGAAGTCTCAATAACACTGATAAGTCACATCTTAACCGCGGAGCTAACCCTCTTTTTTCTTTTTACTATAGGCGACTAGTTTTCAGCCACAAATACTACAAGATGTTTTTGTAGGGAGATGGTGGAAGGTACGTATGATGCGTTCAGCTAGTGGTACAACTCCTGCAAATAAAGTGTACCTTGATCTGCCAATAAGTTTTGAAAAAGGGGAAGTATCTTTTGGAGTGGGACATGAACCTGTTTTAGCTGATATCAGCTATGCGTTCACGGTTGCTCTCCGTAGAGCTAATCTAGGAACTAGGAGTTGCCCTGATCAATACGAAGTAACTTCACAAGTTCCAGCTGTTGATCCATCAGTACAAGAGCTGCCTAAGAAAGAACGCAGCTTACCATGGTGGGATGACATGAGGTACTATATTCATGGGAAAATTACTTTATCATTTACTGAGACTAGATGGTTTATCCTTGGTACAAGTGACCCTTATGAGAAACTAGATAAATTGGAAGTAGTTTCTGCAAACATGGAAATACAGCAGAGAGATGGATACATAGGCCTTTCTGCAAGGGAATTTAAGGTTTACTTGAGCAGTCTACAATGTCTGACGGACAGTTTCAGCTTAAAGCCTCCATCACATGTCTGTGGTCCTTTTCTGTTCTCTTCTACTTTTCTTTTAGAAGTATCCATGGAGTGGGGATGTGACTCTGGTAATCCACTTGATCATTATCTCCATTCACTTCCTGTTGAAGGAAAACCACGGACGAAAGTCTATGATCCCTTTCGCTCAACCTCCCTTTCACTGAAGTGGAACTTCTTGCTGAATGGCTCTCAAATTACTGATAACAAACTTACTTCCTCTAATGATGTGGAGAAGAAATCAGATGGATCAACAAGTGAATCTTCTCAAAAGTTGGCAGTTAAGTCCATTGATTCCCCAACTGTGAGCTTTAGTGCAAATGACCTTGTTTGGTTATCCAAGTTCTGTACTCTTAATTACCTTCCTCCTAACAAAATAAGAATTTTCTCACGGTGTCCACGTTTTGGTGTTCCAAGAGTTGCCAGGTCTGGTAATTTGTCACTGGACAGGGTTATGACTGAATTTTTTCTCCGCCTTGATACTACACCTTTTTGCATCCGTCATACACCTTTAAGAGATGATGATCCTGCTAATGGCTTGGCAGTTAAAACAGCAAAGTTGAAATTTGAAATCTGTTTTAGTCGTGGTAAGCAGCAATTTACTTTTGATTGCAAGCGTGAACCTCTTGATCTTGTTTATCAGGGTGTTGATATTCACATGCTAATGGTGTGTCTAGACCAAATAAATGAAGTTTCTATTGCCCAAGATATTAAAACAGCACAGAGGAGTTCAAGAAGTGAACCGTTGGATAAGCTAGGTAATGAGAACTGTGACTATGGTTGCAAAGACAAGAAAAAAGATGATGCTTTTCTTTTACACTCTGACTATTTCACTGTACGAAGACAAACTTCAAAGGCTGATCCAACAAGGCTATTAGCATGGCAAGCATATGACAGAAAAGATCTTGAAGTGACCTCTGTGATAGCTGAAGTTGAAAAAGGAAGTGAAAGTGATCATACACAATCCGATCTTATTGATGATGATGGATTTAATGTAGTAGTTGCTGACAATTGTCAGCGTGTATTTGTTTATGGCCTTAAGATCTTGTGGACACTGGAAAACAGAATTGCTATTACGTCCTTGGCAGGTGGAATATCAAAGGCATTTGCACGTCCAAAACCTTCTCCTTCTAAACAGTACGCCCAAAGAAAATTACTTGAGAGACAACAAATAACAGATGAGACTGATGTGCCTTCTGAAGAAGCCGTCGATTCTGTGCCTTGTATTTCTCCTAGTGAAAGTTCTACTTCAGTGCAGCATGAAAAGAATCAGGGACAAGATTCATCTCTTTCTACGTCGTCTTCTGCTGTGACTGGTATGTCAGAGAAGAAAATTTTCTTTCAGCTTCTAAATTCTTATATTTGGCACATACCCTTGTGTTTTTAGACTTTGACCACTAAAAGCTACTATTAAGTTCATCACACATGTTGTTGCAGGACTCCTGGATTCAGTGCATAAATGTTAATTATTGAAAGATTGCTCTCTTTGATTGCATAACATTAGCATCCTCCTATGATTATTTTTAGTAGTCCACATCCCCACGATTTACCCATAACTGATGTATTGAATTTTTTGTTACTTTGGAAACCCCAAGTGAGGCTTGCTTGTTGCCCCGTTGGTAATTCTGAGACAGTGGCTTTGAAGTGGAAGTGCTTTTCCACTATGTATAGTGATGAGCTATATGTTAAATTCTAGAGTTACTTTCATGAGGAATGCACAAATTACTAACTTTTATTTGCCTCCAGTGAAGCAAGAAAATGATTGTGACACTGATGAGGAGGGTACATGCCACTTCATGGTCAATGTTATCCAGCCTCAGTTCAATCTGCACTCGGAAGAAGCCAAAGTAAGCATGTTTCTAAATGCACTTTACCTATAATCATGACATAACAAAAACATGGTAAATTTGTTAAGAAATTATATTTGATCAAAGTTTTTCTAAATTTTATTCTATTAAATATAAAAATGGAGCATATTTTCTTGCTTTTCTTTTCTCTTCTGTATGTTCTAGTTTCTCTTATGCTCGATGCCTTAGGGCATCTATTAATTTTTTCAAAATATTAGAATATTCAGATCCCTTTCTTTTGTCATTATTTTAGATAATAGTTGAAAAACTGTGACATGATCTGCACATCTGTATTATATTTCAATATTTTCTTATGGAGAGAAATAAGTTTTCAGAGAAACAAGCTGCAAAACCGAGGATGCAAACTGGAGTTTTTTTACTCCGTTCCATGTCATCATTGAAAGCATACCACTTATTGAAGAGCTCAAAGACTGATTCCCCAACTAAATTTCTAAGATAGAACTCTTTTAGTTCTGAACAACAGTGTAGGTATATCTTGTCATAGGACTTCATTGTATAAATACAGCAAAGCTACCATGATAGAAGTTTTAAATTATTGGGAGTCACGCTTAAGGTAACCTAAAATTCATTAGCTGGATCTGGGGATATGAATCAGAGAATCAAATTTGTATAATCTCCTTCCTCCTTTCCTTCTTTTTTCTCTTTCGCCTCTTCCTTCTTCTTGCTCATTTATTCTTTTTTTCTCTGACAAATGGAGTCAAGAAAAGTATTGGGGATCCCACTTTTTTGGGGAGTGTTCAGTTCAACTTTGTCTGAGCACTATCAGGATTTCTATTAAACTGGCTTCAAGAGGATGCTGCTCATGACATACTCATTAAGCTTGTATGCTAGAGGAGTGACAATTATTAATCTTGTTGTCTGTATATCTGTTTGATGACAGAAATTGTTAGAATTGGGTCTATGGCTTATGCATTCTTTATTCATCAGAGTCAAAATTTTATTACTTTTTTTTCACTAATTTTCCTTTACTGGAAATTGATTTATGGAAATGTATTGCTAACTTGAATTTAATCTCATCCATATAACAGGGTAGGTTTCTGCTTGCTGCTGCCAGTGGCCGTGTCTTAGCTCGTTCATTTCGCGCAGTTTTACATGTTGGCCATGACATAATAGAGCACGCCCTTAGCACCAGCAATGTGGTGATTCCTGATAATGTGCCCGAAATGACGTGGAAAAGAATGGAGCTATCTATGATGCTTGAGAATGTTCAAGCCCATGTTGCGCCTACAGATATTGATCCAGGTGCTGGAATTCAGTGGTTGCCTAAAATTATTAAGGGCTCACCTAATGTAAAACGCACTGGTCCTTTACTGGAGAGAGTGTTTATGCCCTGTCAAATGTACTTCCAGTACACACAGTACAAAGGTGGAACTTCTGAACTCAAGGTAGATTAAAACTGTTATGCTGAGTCTTTCAATCATGACAACGTTGGTTGTTTATTTTGGCATGAGCCTACTGGATTACTAAATTAATTTCTTTTACTATGTGGTGTTGCAGGTCAAACCATTAAAAGAGCTAACTTTCAACTCTCCTAACATTACTGCAGAAATGACATCATGCCAGTTCCGGGTTATGCTGGATGTGCTAACCAATCTTCTTTTCGCCAGGCTTCCTAAGTAATTTATCTTTGATTGCTTCTATGATTTCGCCATACTTCTGTCAATTGTATCTGTAATTATATCAAAACAGTAGTCTAATTGCTTGATATAAATAGTGGTTTTAGCCTTCTAGGTACCTTAAGTCCCTTTTCAAAATAAATACTTTTGATTATTGTCATTGCATGACATTTTAATTGGAAAAGCCTCCACACTCAATTTTAACCCTGTTAACCTTAGAACAAAATGAGTTGACTGCTCGATTCTTTCTATTTGTATAGGTACCTAGAAGATTATATAGGAAAAGTTTCTTAAACAACAGTATTATAAATGACTTTTTTAAAACTTTAGATTCTGCATTTCTGATATTTTTCAGAATGCAATTTCTGGTCTGATTTTCTGTCTTTTTCTTTTTTGAGTGTTTACAGTATGTGGATTGGTTATGTTGTCCATTGTGCATTACAATTAGTATGCACATGCATCATTCAAAAAATTGCTTTTTGTTCATTCTTCATGGAACTTCTTTTGTGGCTGCTACAGGTGAGGTGTAACACCCCTGATCAGTCCCACATTAGAAGTGGACAAGATTAAGAGTGGCTTATAAGGGTCTGATGAGTGTACTAGTATCAACTTCAGCTTAAGCATTTTGGTCAATGGTTTAGACCAAATGAAGTTGAGAGGCCGGTTAACCTATCAGGCCTAGGCCATGAAATGAGGTCCATATATGAAAATATGGTACAAGCCTATAGTTTGACTGATCAAGATGTCTAATCTCTGGGGAGATCTATATCTCCTACTCTTTTCTTTTTTTTAAATGATGTCCTTGCTAGGAGCCTAGGGTCATTTATTTAATGGCTCATTTATAATCTCATGCCTTTATTATTAATGCTATATCAGTTTCACATCCAGCATTTTCTGTTTAATGTTTAAATTTCAAACCAACACTAGAAGACTGTAAGAACAAGACAAAAAAATAGGATTTTACTCTTAGAAGTGGTTTTACTTAATCTTTTAGCTTGTTCCATTTTGTAGTTGGCATTTCATGCAACATACATCTCATTCCTCTTTTAGAAGCTAACAATATAAACATTAGTGCCTGATGATTCAATTTGAGACTTTTTGTCTTCCAGGCCTCCTAAAAGTAGTCACTCATGTCCCTCTGATGACAATGAAGACAGTGAAGATGAAGCTGATGAATTAGTTCCTGAGGGTGTGGAAGAGGTAGATCTTGCAAGGATCAATCTTGAACAAAAGAGGAGGGAACGTAAATTGCTCCTCGGTGATATTAAGACCCTAACAACTGCTACTGATATATCTGATGGCACAGATCTATCTCTAGAAAATGGTGATTTGTGGATGGTTGTAGGTGGAAAATCAACACTGGTAGGATCTTAACACCACTATTTGGAAAGCATTCTCTCAACACGACCTTAACATGATTAATGTTCAGTTTTTGCTCATGCAATGCATTAGAGAGTTCACAAAATATTAGTACATGAGAACCAAAAGATCTGAATCATATTAATGATAATTTTAGTGTGATACCCTAATTAATATGTTTTTATTTAGATTCCTAAGAATGTCTTCTTTGGTCATAATTGTGCATACTTGAGACTATTGCCGATGATGATAATTAATTGAATCACTTCCACATCGTCGACAAATTTCATAAGTCATAGTTATTATACTGTCATAACTTATAAATATATTGATCAGCTTGAACTTGCAATTTCATACCTATTGGTTCATTAGGATATCTGTCTCTTATGATCATAATTTAGTGATGTAGTTGATATCATGCTCAGGTGCAAGGACTGGAGAAAGAGCAGGGTAACATACGTAAGGCTATTAAGGAAGCTTCTTCTACACTGAGGTCAGTTTTGCAGGAAGCTGCCCAACTAAGATTAATGGAGAAAGAGAAGACCAAAAGCCCTTCATGTGCTTTAAGGGTTTCCGTTAAAATCAATAAGGTGGCATGGAGTATGCTTGCAGATGATAAACCTTTTGCTGAAGCTGAAATTAACGAAATGGTGAGTATTGTTCTTTAACTGCATGTGTTTGTTCTCACAGGTAAAAAAAAAAACACATTTTCTACGTCTTCACGTATGGTGAAAAGGGTTTTCCAAATTTCAGTTTTCTGGTTCTTAACCTATTGGAACCGATTCACACGTATGAGTCTTTGGATAACCCATGTCACCTCTGGTCATCCTATTAGACTTTGTATGTTGTGTGTGGACCTGGTAAGGATGTGAGATCAAGGATTAAGTTCTGAAAGCACTTGGGGTGTCGACTGACTGTTGAAATGCTATTATTTGTGTTATAATGCCTGACCCCAGCTTGTGCTTCAGAGTAAATAAAAAGATCCTGGTGCCTTTAGGTCTTTGCCATGAAAGGCAAATTTTTAAGGAAAACTTGAGAGGAGGTGGTGCAAGGAGTGGGTTTCCTTTTCTCCTTTGTTGACCTCTCTTTGGCATTGATGCAAGGGGAAAAGGCAAGGTAGAGCAGCAAGATGTTGCAAGCTCATAATATAGAGTTCTTGGGAGTTGAAATTGTCCTTTGTGAAGCCCTAATTTGAAGGCATGAGATATTTAACTCATAGATTAAAAATTTCACAGTAAATTGGGTGATATGTGTTGGTACAATGCCAATATCACTACCAAATTGTACCATTTGAAGATATATTTCTTTTGTTTTAGTGATCAATATTGGTACTGTAGCAGTTTGTGTGTAACAATCAAATTATGGTTCTTGACCTCTCGTACATGTATTTAAACCTTGATCAAGATTGCTTGGTAATGAAAAAAAAAAACAACCAAAACTGTTTCTATAGGACACCTATATTCTTTTTTATTTTTAATGTGGTTAATTATACTGTATTCTTTAATTATATTTTCTATTTGTATCCCTGTTAACAACCATAATGCTAGTGAATTTCAACTGCATCAAACTATAGAATTGCATATTCTGGTTTTTCTTATTGTTTGTCTGGTTATCAGATTTATGGAAGCAAAATTTATGTTTATGCCATGGAACTTATGTTCAACTCTTGTTGATAACTTGACATCACCAATTTTATTGAGTTTTAAAAATGGATATAAAATTGGTTAAATCCAAGTTGTTTAAGAGTAAAATAGGCCTAAAAGTCCTGATAGTTGAATTATTCTTCTATTAACATGGTTCATGAGGACCATATCCAAGTTTCCAAAAGTAAGTGGCTATACTTTTCTAGTCAATGCCATTAAGCATCAACTCGTGAAAACGTTGCATTCTAATTTCATAGTCTGAAACAGATCTCTATTTTGGCATTTATGTTATCTGAACTTCTTGACAGATATATGATTTTGATCGTGATTACAAGGACATTGGTATTGCTCAATTCACTACAAGGTCATTTGTGGTTAGGAACTGTGTCCCTAACGCCAAATCTGATATGCTTCTATCCGCTTGGAATGCACCTCCAGAATGGGGCAAGTAAGACAGTAAACCTTTTTCTTGTGTATGTCATTTGAATTTGTGTTGGTGATAACTAGTGTAATTTTCATATGGTTCAGATTGCATCTCACACCATGTAGAATCTGTAGGTCCAATGCTTTGGAGATCAGTAATATAATTTCAACTCGATTTTATGGCTTACTAGCTTACTGCATGTTTGCCTTTTCCAGTTGGAAGTCCTTAGCACTTAAGGGAAAAGCCCTTACCTTCTCAAACCAGGTGATTGGCCATTCTTTGCCCGGTTGGGGATGAGTATGCTAACTTCCCCTTGGACATCCTTGGGGGACCCATTAAGGATTGGCCAGGCTTGGGGAAAGGGAGGTATTCCTAGGGTTAAAAAAATCCAATATTCTCTTGGGAGCCTTCTACTTCTCTCATAGCAAAGTAGCACCTGCTATGAGTTGTGAATTTTAGCGATCAAGGGTTTCATCTCCTCTTCCAACTTGACTATCCTTTTAAATGAATCTCTTGGGAGTTGGTTTCATACTAATAGACCTAATAGTATGATACTTGGTGCCCATAATTTTCATGTGGACGCACCCATATCATTAATCATATGGTGCAACTTGCTAAAACACATGGATTTGATGAAGGATTTGTTCCTGATTGCATTTGTGCAACATCCTCTCTACTGTATGCAAATAGCATACCATTTTGTTCCATGGAGATTTTAATGGAATAGTGGACATCTTGAACTACCTTCCTTTTGAGTCCATCTCTATAATATCCAACAAATATCCACATATGCAGCACTCATGTAAAGAACAATCCTTCTAAGGGATCTCATTTAACCAACATCCTGGTTTGTCTTCTTAATATTCGCATTGCCTATCTTGATTCTCCTTCATTCATCTGCTCGGTGACAAGCTGACTGGATTTCCTCGATCAGAATGCGTAATTAATGGCTCTCCAGATGCACCTGGACTGTATTAAGATAGCAAATTTACGTTTCTAGCTGCCTCTTATTACATGTAATCTTCACTCTAGCAAATTGAGTCATCAAGAGAAGAGACATTTGTTTTGATAGGTTGGTACATCGTCAGTTGGAATGCCTTATCATATTTAAAGATTGGAGTGCCTAGTGATTATTAATTCATAGAAATTTATTAGTACCCTCCTATGTTAATAGCTGTGAAGGCTATTCAGTAGTATTTGAGAGGTTTGGAAAAGTTCCTTAAGAATTTCCCATTTAAGGGACTAGAAAATCTCTAGGGTGACTTGTACCTGGCTAGACTCATGGAAAAGCACCATCCACCATGAATCCCGGATTTCTTGGACTGTGTCTTCTCAACTGCAAACAGAACTGATTCACATCCAGAGGCACAATTGGTCCAATCGTACACTTCCATTATATTGCTTTCCTCTTACTTACATGTCATAATCAACATTAAGATATGGCAGGAAACCGGCACAGTGATACTCTATTGTTGTGTTGTTTCCCTGATATCGGAGTTTCTACTTCAAAAATATTGGTCTCCTCCAGTGATGGAAATAGATAAGGTGTCTATGAATCTGAAACAGATCTATTCATTCACAATGCACATCTCCATTCCTAGATGTTATCGAGTCAATGGTGTCTTTTCAATCTCGTATAACTTAATCAATTTCAGTAGTTTGTCATCCATCTGCGCTCTCAAGCTATGGAAAATTCCAACCCAGGATTGCCACTAAAGATATTTTGTAGCCAAAGGTTTGTCGTGCACCATATGTTGTGTCTTCTATTGTAAACCTACAAAAATTGTTGGCTGCCTTCGGAGCAATGGTCCTTTACTCATGCGGTTTAGCCATGTAGGTATCTAGTTTTTAATCCCTCAACATCTGTGGATCCTCAGAAAACTTATGGATGCTTGAGCTCTTTAAAAAACCCTGAAGATTTCCTACCAGCATATACAAGGACTGTTCTGCAATAGCCTCTGGAAGGAAGGTTTTACAGAATCCTCAAATATTACATCTGGTATCATATGCCCCTTGCAGCATTAATGCCTCTCTCTGTATTGTTCTTGCATTGATTGTACTAGCCAAATAAATTCTACTTGTCTTCCATACCTTAATTCCCCTCCCAGTACCTCCTTCCCTTCTTTGAGCTTTTCTTTTCTATTAGTTTAATTCTGTGGTCTTTTGTGTAAATCTTGTTGCATTTTGCCCCATGCCTTCTTTGCAATGTGCATATGTGTATGTAGAGACAAACAGAGAAAAGAAGTGTTGCATATCTTTGTTGTAGTCTAACTGCATTTTGTGATTAAAGCCCATAATTTCGACAGTTCTATTTCTGTTCTTCAATATTTATATTTGAGTCGATATGTGATGAACAATTTCTGAGATTACATGATTGAAGAGTCAAAGGTATTAAAATACATACTTTCGGTTTAGTTGGTTCAGTATATTATGGTATAGAAATTCGTTTCGTTCTTCTTGCTTCTGATTCTGCGCATAGGTTCCACTTTAATTGGACTTTTCATACTCTGTAAACATGGTGCTAAATTTGGAATTTTATCATGACATGCATGTTTTAAGCAAGCAAGTAGATTGGTATCTGCTCCAATCTTTATCAAGACTTCATCAGTAGATTATTATATTTCTTCCTGTACTTGATATTGCTTTTAATTTAGTTCAATTATCAACTAGTGTTTAGTAGAGTATGATTATTATCTTCTCCAACAATCCTGCTTTTAACTTTAGCAACTTGACCACAGACGAGTTATGCTTCGTGTCAACGCAAAACAAGGAGCTCCAAAGGATGGCAAATCTCCTATTGAACTTTTTCAGGTTCACTTCAAAGCTTAAGCAACTGGTGCTTTTGTTGTGTTCTAGTCTGTTAACTATGCAAAATTTATCTTGAAAACCAAGTGGTTCTTTTAAACATAAAAACTTTGGCGAATGATAAGACTTGAATATGATGGACAATTTGCATTATTGATATAGAAAGCTTTTATGGTATCCTAAGAAACTGGCTATAGGTTATTACAATTCAGTCAGCTTGCAGCATTGCACATGCATCCAAAGTTCACGTCAGTTTTTTTCCGCGGTTCTTATGCACTGATAATAGAAATGTTTTTGATTTTTCACAAATCTTTCTATCATGACCCCTGCCCAATAACTGTGTCGGCCAAGCTCTTTGGCAATGGGTTTTAACCTATATACTAACCGAACCCTAGGCTACACCTGATACAGGACTAATTAAATCATAGTATTTTACTTTTATTCTGTCCTTGAATGCTTATGCCATGGGCCATCTCCTGTGACATCATTTTAAGATAGCTGGTGATGTCCATTCTATTGCATCAGCACTCAGAGACAACTGCATGAGATAAGATTGGCAGCTTTACTGTCATTACCTTAAGAAGGAAAAGCATAATATATAAATTTTATAAATTTATAAATTTCTTGTGGTCTTATCATCATAACATAATCAGTTTATAAATTTCTTGTGATCTTATCATCATTAATGGGCATCCAATGCACGAGGCTCCCAGCAATACTAAATCTGGGGGGTTATAATTTATACAGCTTTGCCTCTTCAAGCAGAATTCCTGTCTATGTGATTTGAACTTTAATTATGTCCAGGTTGCAAAGGGCTGTGATATTAGGACTCACCCTCATAAAACTCATTGTAATATATCAAAAACATTAACAAAATATAAAAGACAATGAGTTAAATATGATAAAAAACAAGTTGCAAATGTTGTCTAAGATATTGTCTAATCCATAATACAAAACTGTTGTGTGGTAATTTGGGATCCCTATCTCAAGATGGGATTTAGATCTTCGAAGGTTAATTTAATCAAAATCGTAAGATTTGGCTCCTTCAATCATAAGATGCTGACAAGATTGCTCACCGCAGGTTATAAGGCTCGCTTCACTTGACCCAATAATTTACCAAGACAATGTTAGAAACTTAGTATATGCACGTTAAGTGTGCTTTGAATTAGAAGCCCATGAGGACCTGATCTGAGTTCTGATAATTTTGAGAAAAAAAAATTAATATTTTAAGAGGTCTGTGGTGTTACATACGCTTGGTTTGCTCATAAGACTTTTGTTTAGGGTCTCAGTTGTCTTGGTCTACAGGGACCTTTAATGTTATATTAGCAGCAATGCTCTCCTACTGTCTACCTTGTCTGAAACTCTGAATAGTGAAAATTGATCTTTCTTTGCCTGTGGATTTTAAGATTTTTTAACTATGTCTTGTCTGTGATGGCACACCATATTTCATATCATTCTTATTGCTTTTGATGATTTTAAGACATTGACTCTAATCTCTCTAACTAGCGAGGTCCTTGTACTGATGGTCTGCCAAATTTTAGTGTTGAATTGCTGTCTGATAATTTCTTCGATTAACTACTATAAAATAATTTATTCTGATTTACTTTACAGACATGCACTATTTCGATTTACACAAAATTGGATATCTGATACATATCAGTGCATTTTGTCTGCTAGTTTATTAAAGGATCTATTTGAATGCAATATACTTGATTGAAATCATTTCCGGTGTTGTCATTGCACTGATGCATAGCAATTGTAGGTAGATATCTATCCATTGAGGATACATTTGACTGAAACAATGTATAATATGATGTGGGAGTATATTTTTCCCGAAGAAGAACAAGATTCATCAAAACGACAGGTCAGTTAAGCATCAAGTTTTTTAAGTCTTTTCTGTTCCATCTGTTCTCTCATGCCTCCATCTTGTTTCATGAATGTAAAGGAAGTTTGGAAAGTTTCAACAACTGCTGGCTTGAAACGAGGAAAGAAAAGCCTATATGGGTCTGAGACAGTTGCATCAAACAGTCCGTTGTCAAAGGAACCTGAGGCTTCTGGAAAATCAGCAGCTTCAAAATTGTCTTCTTTTACTTCTGGCACCGAGTCTCAGGTTGATTCAACTCAAGTAAGTTTCTCAGCATAAGTATATTCTTATTCATCTATGAGGCTGTGTCAACTAAAAGAAAATGGGCATCAAGAACCATCTTTTAAGGAAAATTTGCAGCAACTTTTATGCTTCTTAGCAATTATAATTTATATTGGAAATGTCAGCTTCCTGTTTAACACACTTTATACAAAGCTAATTCTGAATTCTGATAATGAATCTTTATGAACTGAGCTTCCTTTTAAGATCATTTGGAATAGTAGACTTTTCTGCAGATAAATTCCTTTATAAAGGAACCAATGATTTTTAACAAAAAAGTTTCACTAGTTCAGCATTATGAGCTCTGCACAAGAGAATGAGATTCATCTATAACATATTGAGTATCTCTTTTTCTTAGATGATGAGATGTGCATGCAGGTGAAAAAGAAGCAAAATCTACAAGGAAATACTGCATCAGGTTCGAATCCAGAGCTTAGACGAACATCTTCCCTTGGCAGAACATGGGAAGAAACTGTTGCAGACTCCGTTGCTAATGAACTAGTTCTGCAAGCACATACTTCGAGCGTTTCTTCTTCACAAAGTGGACTCTTCAATGCTGCAACAGAAAATAAAAATGCAAATACCGAGGAGCCTAAAAATAAACCGAGAGATCCCAAGCCACTTAAATCTGGTCAGTTGCTGACTTATGAAGAGAAAAAGTCTGGGAAATCCCAGGATGAGAGGAGAGCCAGACCTAAAAAGCTTCAGGAATTCAACAACATCAGAATTAGCCAGGTAAATTTACTTACAGTATTTAAATATGTTTTGAAATTTGAAGTTTCATTTAATGTTGAGTCTTTGTTAATTGGTTATGTTGATATCATAGGTTGAATTACTTGTTACATATGAAGGCTCAAGGATTGCCGTCAGTGATTTTAGATTGTTGATGGATACCTTCCATCGTGATGAATTTACTGGCACCTGGAGGAGACTTTTTGCACGAGTCAAAAAACATATCGTGTGGGGAGTTTTGAAGTCAGTAGCTGGCATGCAGGTAACACATAAAACCTTAAACTGCATGTTTTGACCAAATTATGTGATTTAGCAGCTTTATTTATATCAGGAAAACTTAATCTGAGCATATGTAAACTGTTATATTCAGAGGAGATCATTACAGCGACTGTTGCATATTTTTCCTTGTCATATAAAGACTAGTTTTACAACAAAAACTTGGTGCTTTTCAACAGAGTGGTCTTCGTTTGACTAGTTTTATTCGATCCAAATTGACCTGTTTGTTAACTCCTTTCCATATCATGACCCTGAGATTTCGAAATAAAAAAGTATAATACTGTTTGTTGAATTATTAATATGTTGTTGATACCTAAGTCTAACTCTTTCGGAACTCAAAATTGTCATCATAGTCACTGATGACCTTTAACAGAAACTAAAATAACCCATAAAACTTTATTGGCATAGTGCTGGTGTCTGAATGGCAGGGTGATGATGATTAATTTGCTTTGTATAGGCCATGCTTTCATGATTATGAACTGATCCATTATCCCAATAAGACTAATTCTTTTTTTTTTTTTCTATGTTTTTGCTAATGATGTAGGGTAAAAAATTCAAAGACAAGACTCAGAATCAAAAGGAGGCCCAAGCAAATGTCCTTCCTGAAAATGATCTTATTAGCATAAGTGATAGTGATGGAGAGCAACGTGGAAAGTCTGATCAGTTTCCTGCACCATTCCCCAAGAGAGCAAATGATGGTGCTGGTGATGGATTTGTTACCTCCATAAGGGGATTGTTCAACTCTCAGCGCCGGAAGGCCAAAGCATATGTCCTGAGAACTATGAGAGGAGATGCAGATCATGATCATGGTGATTGGAGTGACGGTGATGTTGAGTTCAGTCCCTTTGCTAGGCAACTGACTCTCGCAAAAACTAAGAAGCTTATACGGCGGCATTCCAAGAAGTTCAGCTCAAGAACTTCAAGTTCAGGTGATCTCCTCTTCTTTGCAATTCATCTGACTTTGTTGTCACTTTCATTATGTTTCCTAAGAGTTGGTAGATTTTGTTGAGGTGCATTGAGCATCAAGCTAGGGATGCTTGTCTGATAATTCTTTTTTCTAATTTCAGTGCAACATCAGAAAGATCCATCATCTCCAAAGGAGACCATGCCATACGAAAGTGATTCGTCCGGTGCATCATCATATGGTGATGGGGACATCAACGAATAATAAATACCAAACAAGAATCCGGATTCATTTGGATACCTGAGAGCAGTTTTCTCCATAGATATTCCCGGTAGTCGCATGGCTTAACCCAATAATCATTCAGCAAATAATTGGATTCCTTTCATGATGAAGTCACAGGACGACATTTGGAGAGAAGCTTTTTTTGCAACCAATGTCATAACGGATAATGTCAAGGATTCTGTACCTGAGAGATGAATGTCTTTGATGTCATCTCAATTTTGCTACTTATATTTTTTTTTTAAATGCAAAATCTTCTCGAGGAGAATAATTTCATTCGTACGAAAAAGTGATCCCCAAAAGTTGATATTTGCTGGAATATATTTACATCTTTTTTTCTTTTGAAGCCAAAAATATGCCTCAACATTCATTGTCTCCGTCGTCACGATGACGACGATGTAGAGTAGGATATTTGAATATCTAACTGTGGTTAATATTAACTAATTTGAGTGGAAATCTGTATGAACGTTAAATATTTGAATGTTTACGCCATCGTGATATTTAGCTTTGCAAAAGAAGTATAAACACTCCAAGAGAGGGTTTATTTGACCCCAATAAGATGTCTCATTGAGTTGCGTCGAAAGGAAGGGATCTACAAAGCCTAGAATTAATTGAGATTGACTTTTGTACAAACTAAGAAGCGTATCGAACCACGTTTTCCATGGAGACGTCTCACCTTAATGAGGCTGACTTTGACGTTGGAAAACGAAGGGATTTGCTTGAAGCGAACAACCAAGAACACGATGAGGATTCACAACGTGTTCTTCACGTATGCTGCTCCTATTGGAGCTCGTATCACATCCAATGGCAAAGCTCCATGGTGCAGTGTTAATCGGTATTCAATTCCTCTGGATTTGGACGCACCATCGGTTTGTAATCATGGAGAAATATGCTTTAGACAAACGCCACCATAATGATAGTGATTCTTATAGATTATGGATTTTAATGTCATCAGTTGAATGGTTAAAAACAATGTGGACGATTCTTAGTCTTTAATCAATCTTATAATTAAATTTTTTAGTTGTTTTGTTTTTTATTCGATCTCGATCGGATTGTCCACCTTGGGGCTAATTATATATTACTCAATCCTGACACTTTTAAAAATTATATTGAGATCTCTATACTTACGAAGATGAAACATAATAGTAAATCGAAGTGAGATAGAGAACACATATTTAATGGTAAGGCTTGTATTATTTTCATTAGCGGTCGATGACGTGAGGAGAAATGATATTAAATATTTCACTTTCTTAAGTATAAAGATCTTAATATAATTTTTGAAAGCATATGCTAAGAGTAGCTAATTATAAAGAGTAATATATAATTAATTAGTCCTTTACTTTCACAATAAATAGACCAAACACAATTCAAATGTTTCATTTAAACTTATATATCAAACTTAATATATGATACTAAACTTTTTAATCCTCAATAATATAATAATAGCAATAAAACCGGAAGTAAGATTGATTTTTCAATTTTGAACTATATAGAATTATTATTATTTTTTGAACATAATAAGCCTTGAGGATGAAATTCATAATCCCAAAATCTTATTATCATCACGTAAATATTTTTCTATATATATATATATATATGTATATGATAGAAGTGACGAACACTTATTCATGCAAATTATTATCTTTTAGTTTGATTCTATCCCAAACATGAACACAAATATCCAAGAAAACAAAAAACAACTGACTTATTATCACTCATGAATGACAATGGAAAGAATACATAATCCATCCATATGAGTGACTATCAAAGTGTCAGAATCCATTCTAAAATCCATGGTTACTTTTTTTTTTTTGTTTTGGGGATAAATCAACGATGAATCTGATTTAATATAAATAAAATATGATATCAGTTCAATTAAGTGTGTTTAAGTTAAGATTCTGTATATAAATCAATACACTTTTTCGTTTCAATCCTTCAAAATATTAAATTATTTTTCATCATCTGTCTATCTCTATCTCTGTCTCAGTATCTTTCACATGAATATTCTTTTCTGCTACAGTTCAAGAAGGATAAGAAGTGAGATGTGAGATGTGAGGTAGTGCATCATCCCTGGCAAACCGAGGAGAGGAGAAAGGAGAGAGACAACAGCCATGCCAACGACTTGTAACTCGCATCATGCATGATTTGCTTCAGTCCGTCTTCTTCTTGTCGTCGTCCGAGACGTGCAAGGTTGTCCGTCTCTTTCCTGGTGTTGCAGTGGATGCCACGGACATCAACGAGGACGAAAGGAGGAGTTCGAAAGCCAGCCTGCCCACCGGCCCTTGTCGCGTTCTGCCGGCCTCTGCAGCACGACCCACTCGAGGACGAAGACGACAAGCGCGAGCGGCCGAGTCGCCTGCCGACTCCAAACACGAAACCGGCTTCTCCTCCAATCGGGAGAGATGGTTGGTGGGGCCCACTCACAAACAAAAGGTTAAAAGCCTGTTCCCTGGCGGGGAGGTACAAGAAATCACATTTAAAATACCGCGTATAAAATATTGCTCGGCTTTTCTCAAAAATCTTCTTTTTTTTTTCTTATTTCTCTCAAAAAGGATTTTCTTTTTAATCTCATAAATATCATTCTCTAAATTTAAATGTGACGATAAGATGACTTCATTAAAAGAATGAGAAGCTGACTAACAATACTCTAAGCTTCTCTATTGAGCCACTAATGGAGATAGTTAAGCTTAATGCATAATATAAATAATGAAATAGATCAAAAGTTGGACCTTATTATAAATTATCAAAGTCTTTACTTATTAAGTTTTTATTGGATAAATTATTTCTTAATGGTTTTGACTTTTGCATATGTAACCCTCTTATTGGAGAAGGTTTTGACTTTTCATATGTCATCCTCTTATGGGAGGGAATCAAGGTTTTGGCTTTTCATATGTCATCCTCTAATTGGAGGCAAGTAAACATGCTTTTAAGTCACCAAAAGAATTACTAATATGATAAACAAGCATAGTTTCTATTCAGCTGTCCTCCTTCACAGAATATAGCAAGAATTTGTTTAGTCATCACAACAAAAAGGATAAAGGATAGAGCTTCGAGATTTCGTATACAATAGATACCAGCGATATATATCGATTTAAAAGAGATTGAATGATATATTGGTACGTTTTCATATATCATATATCGGTATATTTTGTATGGCTCGATATTATTCGATACAGATTAGTAAGACATGGGTTTCATTCTTTTCTGAGTTACAAATTAGATTCTGAATTCAGAATCTAAATCTATTTTAAATATCGTAAAACAATACAAACGATTAATTTCTTATACTGAAAAACAAGTTACTCTTATTAGCTTATTTCATAATTAATAATTTCCAAAGATGGTTGAAGTGCTTCCTAAAAAGAAAAGTTTAAAAAAACACACACACACACATTCAAGCATTTTACTTGACAATGCATGTGAAGATTATGGTGACTGTTCTTCACAGTATTTGCTCTTTTTGGCACCATAATTATGTAGACCCATGTACATTAATTTTTGATGATCTTGAAGCTATAGCTTATTAGCTGTCTACTATTCCTAGTGATACTTGATGCATCACTTGTGGCCCTGCCACTTGTCTTTTTAGAGTTGGTAAAAGTCTTGTCCTTCTTTTAGATGATTCAGCTTCAACCACCAGTAATTTCTGCATGTTGTCTTGCAGCAAACCTTCTTTGCATCATGTGTTTTATATATCTCATTCCTAACTTTTTTGCAGGCATATCTATTACAAAGCTATCATATTCTCATGATTCATAATCTTCATTCTGTAGACCACCACCTTCCTAATTCCTCCAGCACAGTGAGGAACTCTCAAAAGTGAAGCATCTTTCCCAGTTCAGGAAAACTTGACTCACAGATTTGACATGCAGATGCATGTCAAGGACAGAACATCTCCTCTTTAGGGTTTTGCTTTGTAGATGGATCAGCCAAAAGCCACATGAACCATTTCCAATGCCATTCCTTCCTGAGATAATTTGTGGTAAACCATATGTGGAATTCATGTCAAGAAATTCTAATCTTGGCAGAAGTATCAACAGTAGGATAATGTTTATAAGTGGGCTCTTCTCAATGTCACCTGACAGCCAATAGATCCAAGCAAAGTACTAACCAATCCAAGCATTCATATCACTTCACCTATTTTGGTGGCTAATTAAAAGAGTTACAAACAAAGCTTGTAGCACAAAGCAATATGTTGTTGGGACACATGTGAGGATTGCTAGCAATGTTTGATAACTTAAGTTACTCTACAATGAATTTGGGGGTGCAAACTATAAGGAATTTATTACATCTTAATTTTCCAGACAATTGAATTCTTATAGAAGCATGAAAAAAGAAAAGACTGCAAGCTACAGTGGACCAGAAAGAAGTAGCCTTGCAGACAAATCAAAGAGATGTGAACCTTTGATCTGAATTAGTCCACCAAACTATATTTTATTCTGTAGAACACAACACTGGGATTTGTCTTATGTTTCTTTTTGTGTATGCATTTAATTGGAAGCATGCATGTACTCAGCCATTGGATTCTGAAAAGAATGAGAAGAATAATGTTTGCACATCGAATGCCCCTCCACTGGCCAATAGATTCTGCCACTAGTTTATACTTGTTTAATCATGCACAGTGGAAAATCTTTCATGGTCTTCCCAATTTGAAGACTTGCCGATTTCCTCTTCAATAATGTCATAAAGGTTGCAGCTTGATGAGGAGGTGGCAGTTGTTCGATAAGGTCTTCCATGGACCAGCTGCTGTATCATGGCTTCTTCTGATCTGCTTTGTGTTACTCTGAACTCCTGCAAGAACTGTCAGTAGTTCATCCTCTTCATGATCGAACTACCATGGCCAAATGATATAGTCCTGTACTGTAAATTTCCTGCTGGTTGAGTTCAAACGAGGAAGGTGAATCTAGATAACGCAATCCCTCCAATTGCGGCGCGACACGCGGCCATTTCATCACCTAATTCCAATGATGATCTGCCAGGAAGATTGCACTCACAGTAGTAAAATATTAATGAGGCATGCAGAAACAGTTAGCACGGTCATATTCTAAGCAGCTGAGCACAGAGGAGTAGGTTGAGACAAAGAGGAAAGGGAGGGAGGGAGGGAGGGAGGGAGAGGGAGGAGAAGGGTGGATTGTGTCAACACATGTCACGACACACACAAGCAACAAAGCTGGGGGACCAAGGAAAAGGGTGCCTACAGTGGTGGGGAAACCCCCACAAGCTCACCAATCAACCTGATGGGGTGTCATTATTCTACATCAAGCGGTCACACACCATATTGCTTAATGGAGATGATCACAGAGGAAAATGGCTTTTATCTTCTGTGGTCTGGACTGTGAGATGTCAGCATCTTCCCCATGCTTAGGAACCCAAGATGGCATTTTTCTACTTGCACAAAAGAAAGAAAGAAGGGATCAGAGTAAAATGGTGGACAAATTGGTGTTTGGGAGATTTAAGTGCAGGTTTAGGTCTACCAACTGGTGGTTAGGAGATTGAACACCTTAACAATCCTCATCACCAACTCCCAGGAAGAAGAAGAAGGAAGTAACCTCTGAAGACTTACAGATAAAGAGATAAGGAGGGAGAGATGGGGAGGGGAAGAGAGAGAAAGATTTGTCATTTATCATGGCTTCCTTTTAGAGGGTGAGGACTGGAGGGAAAGAGGGGGAAGTACTCTCACGTGCAAGATGGAATTTTGGGGTCTGATGATGGTAATCTGAGATGAGAAGGAGAGAGAGAGAGAGAGAGTGAGAGAGAGAGAGAGAGAGGAGGAGGAA